TTTCTGCCATGCACTTGTAGATCAGATATAAGCTCTCAGCAACTGCTTCAATGCCATATCTGCCTGTGTGTTGCTATAATTCTCACCATGATGATCATGAAGCAGTAACTCTCTTAAACTGTAAGCAAGCCTCCAATTAAATGCTTTCTGTTGTAAGCTGCCTTGGTCATGGTGTCTCTTCACAGTAATAAACAGTAACTAAGATATCCTATCTCAGAGAGAGGGATAAGGAGAGAGAGAGGGAAGGAAGGAAGGAAGGAAGGAAGGAAGGAAGGAAGGAAGGAAGGAAGGAAGGAAGGAAGGAAGGAGATAGAAAGAGAGAGGGGAAAGAAAGAAGGAAGAAGGAAAGAAAGGAAGGAAAGAAAAAGAAAGTCAGGAAGGAAGGAAAGAGAAAGAAAGAAACTGGGAAGAAGAAAGATCTTAGCTGGGAGGGACCTGGGAGGAAGACTGGAGCATCACCAATGAAAACATGGGTTGGTAATATAGCACTAGGCATGGGGAGATAGCATCCTCATTCCTTTCCCATATAATATGTAGAGTAAGAAGGGACGTGTCCCAGGGAGAAATCTGATTGGAGGGTAGAAGACAGAGTCATGCAAGAAGAAAAGTCAGGAGTAGACACACAGCAGAGGTCATCTCAGATACAGACTTTCAACAGAGGTCTTGAGCCAGATGCCTGCTGTGCCATCCTACTTTGATGACGTTGGCCTTACAACTAGTTTTGCTAGCTTTTTGTAAGCATGTACCCATATATCCATTTCATCAGCTTGGTTACAATATACCTACATGTGGTCTTGTTTTCATTTATTCCTTTTCAGTGTTATAGGGTACTTTGGATCTATGGTTTTATATCTTTAATCCAGTTTTCAAAATTGTAAGTCAATTTCACTTCAAATACATTGTTGCCCCATTTTGCTTCCACTTCCTTCTCCAGAAATTGTAATCATGTGTGTCCATGTGTCTCTTACTATGCCCTAGTCATTCAGCCCATTTTCTGTCTTTAAATGGAATTTTTCCCTAAACTCTTTTTGGATTAATTAGTCCCCTCTTCTGCTGGGCCTAAACATAGTGAACTCACGACTATATTTTCAATTCCAGATTACTGTTTGTAAAGTTCTAGAACCTTCATTTAGTCCTCTGTTGAAATATCTTGAACGAAGCACAGTTAGTTACTTGAAGAGATGTTTATCTCATGCCTCAGTTTTCTGAATCCCCTGTGGACCTCTTCTATTGTGTGCTGGTCTTTTGGACTTTGATGTCATCTAATTTATTTTACATGCTTTTTAACTGAGTGCCAGATATGCCTAAAACATTTCCTAATTTAAATTTGGCCTTCTGTTGCCCTTCCTGGGATGTAATTTCTAGCATTTTGGCACATGGTTAGGGGCCCTAAGTCTGGAATCACCTTCATTATTTGAGGCTGAGATTATTTCAAGCTTGTGTGAGTCATGGAAGAGCTGGCTTCCATTTTCAGTTATTCTCTCTACTCCTAAAGTCAGCTGTCTAGGGAAACAATCAAGGCACAGGGACTCCACCACTTCCTGCCTTTCTTGGTAAGCCCTTGCCAATAAGATTTTGGGGAAAATGAGACCTAAATTAAACATACCATCAACCAGAGAAGGATTCAATTTGCTTCTTCTAAGACTCAACTAGTACTACTAAGCCACCCTAGCCCTTTCCAAGATCCGAGCCTAATCCAGGGATCTTGGATTGTTTTCAATATAGATGGATGCTGTGGTTTAGTCTCCTTTTCTCTGACATTAAATTTGCAGTCACAGTAGCCCTGTCTACTGCTCATGACTCTGGTATTACATCACAGAATTTGGTTTACGTTTTCTGTCTTACTGTGAGCCTGGAGACCAAAGAAAGCCTTCCTACTGCAGGACTTATGCACCATCTCATCTTATGGCAGGTCTAAATCTAAAAGTCCCTACGTTCTTGATTATGATTTACCCTTTTATGAGTTTTTTTTAAGTAACATACTTGAAATAGTTAACATACTGAAGCCAAATTTAAGGTTAGAATTCTTATAGAAAAAAAAACTATTAGTGAATAAAAGAACATACTTCCACTACTGAAAATTATACAGTTTTTCAAGATAAATAAAATAATTAATCTCTGTCTTCTTTTTCATTTTGTTCTAATAGGTTTTTGGATGACTAATAAGACTCCAATGAGTCAGCATACTGTTGAATTCTCATACTCGGATGGGTAGGTAACCACAGCAGGTATTTATTTAACATAAAGTTTTGGTGAGGGAGAGGAGAGGAGGGGAAGGAGAGGTGGGGAGGGAGAGAGAAATTGATTTACTAAATGCTAGCCATCGCAGGGCTTCTGTTCTCCAGCTATGGAACCACCCACACACCTCACCTGCTGACTCAGAATGAATGGAGTTTTCAGTGATAATGAATGAACAGGAAGGGCAGAAACCCAGACTAAAACCTATGGAACTAACTATTACTTTTTAAAATTGAAGCAAGTCATTGTGTTTCTTTTCAAGATACATATCCAAAGCGTTGGAATATGAGGAAGAGACATAGGAGGTATTCCAACATCCTAGGAGCATCATTCCAAATGGCTTTCTTCTGATTAGTGATTCTGGTTTTAACTATGAAAACAGTACTACTGTGTCAACACTGTGAGTAAACTGTGCAGGCCACAGAGGTTTGAACTATAAAATCCCAAGAGATTAATCAACAGCTTCAATACCAGTTCATCCCGCTGCCGGAAGCGTAGCTATAGCATAGATGAGTTGCTTGATGGCCTTCGACATCTTTGCTGAAATATTAGCACCTACCTCATTTGATCATGGGGCTTGGTGATATCTTAAGTCCCTAAATATTCAGGGTCTGGGCGATCTATCCGGTTATCTCCTCTTTGCTATATCTTTCTTCTCCAGGAAGAATACTGCCCTAAAGGGCCATCCTTCAGCCACGTCCCGAAATAGACCTTATGAGTTCTGAGGGAACAAAATGTCTCCATCAAATCCCTCCCTCAGGGCTCGGGAAATGCTGCAGAAGAGGAAGAGGAAAGAGTATAAGAGCCAAAGGGGATGAAGGATGCTGTAGGCCTTCTAGATACAACAGAGCTGGCACACATGCATTTACAGAGACTGTGGCAGCATGCACAGGACCTACCAGGTCTGCACCAGTTGGGGTCATAGAGCTAAAAGGGAAAATAGACCACGTGCCCCCCCACCCCTAACCTAGAAACTATTTCTAATTGATAGCCACTTGCTAAGGGAAAAATAATTTTCTCCAAGAGAGTCTCACTGGGGAAACAAAGTACTCCTAAGTGTAAGTAGGCTGCATGTCCAGCAGTAGACGGACAGTACAAAATGAACTCAACAGTATCTTTGCGGGTTCTTCGTCTCTCAATGTTAACTCAGAGCATTCTTTTTCATCCTTTTTGTTGTTGGTTGTGGTTTTTCAAGACAGGGTTTCTCTGTGTAACAGCCCTGACTGTCCTGGAACTCACTCTGTAGACCAAGCTGTCCTGGAACTCACAGAGATCTGTCTGCCTCCGCCTCCCAAGTGCTGGGATTAAAGACATGTGCTACCATGCCCGGCCATTCTTTTTCATCTCACAGGCCCTTTGTATTTATTATGGCTTCCAGTTTTGTGGTTTTTTATGGCAGTCCTATGTGTGGGTCTGCATCTCTACTTTTAAATTAAAATGTTTTAATTAAGTTTCAATTATACATTTCTTGAGCTTTATCTTTGGCTCTTTTTCCTGTTCGTTTGTTTTGCCCTATTCTGATCTGTTTGGGTTTTATTTTATTATATTTTATGTTTTATTATTATTCCTTGTAAGCCTGTTTTCTAAGGATTGTCAGACAGGGTGTGGAGCCAGATGGAAGGAAAGATCGGGAGAACTGGGAGGAGTAGGGGGAGGGGAAACGCTAATCAGAATCTATTGTATGGAAAAAAATTCTTTCGATAAAAGGGGGGGGTGCGGATTGTGAGTTCAAGGTTGGGATAGCTGGACACAGTGAGATGGTAGGATGGCGAGACCTCCTTCTCAAAACAAACAAACAAATGTTTTCTGTTGGGCAACAAAGAGATGACTACATGATTATCATGCCAGCATCTCTAGAGGTAGAGACAGAAGGTTCGGTATTTCAAGGCCAGTTATATAAAGCCATAAAATGGGCTCAGAGCCACCCTAGGCTACGGAAGATCCTGTTTCCAAAAAGATGTATGAAGTTTATACTGAAATAGTTAATATTTAGAATAATAAAAGCTTTAAAAGCACAACTCCTTCAGACAGTGCAGCCATTCAGGTATCTAGCCAGCTAGAATACCTTGTCACACCTAAGACTGCCAAGGGCCTCTGCATTCATAATCACCTTTGGAAGCTATTTGCTTCTTCTTAATATTTAATACAATCTTAATTTAAAAATAATATTTTAATGTGCTGTTTAATAAGAATTTACTGGTCATTTAACTACTAGCAAGTACTGTGCTGGCTCAGCAAATCAGAAAGAATGCAGGGGGGGTTGCCCGCCCCCCAAGTAAAGGCAAGCTTGTAAGACACAGCATAGCTCAAGCGCACAGACAATGAGCAAGAAGACGCATCTGTAAACATCAAGGTGAAAAGATTTCTGCCGCATTGCTAACAGAAAGGGTATAGACCTTTCTGTGTATTTTCTAATCCACCCTAGCAAAAATAATAGATTACACGTATTGATTTCTGACTACCATATGGAACAGGCACCGTGTCGAATTCCTTAAATATCTTATTTAGTGTTCACAAAAACTCCAGAGGGTCAGGACTTTTAAAATTCCATTTTCTAGATAAAAGGGATTAAGAGATTGACTTGAGCTCTCACTGCTAGAAAAGCCACAGAGCACAGGCCTAGGTGGTATTACGGGAAGAGCCTGCAGCCCAGCCAGTACACTGCTCCCTGAGCCTCTGAGCCGGCTGCACATTTGGTCCAGATGGAAACTATCATAGATAAACTGAACACAACACCCTCCGTCTTTTCTGGGAACTCTTACTTCAGTGTGCGAGCCCACCATCTTTATTTAAAAGCTTCCTCATTTCAGAGACAAGACAGACCTCAGTATCCTCGCCGATCTTAACATGTAATTTTCACACATAATAAATGTTAATGCCGTTCTTGTGACATGCGCCGTACATGCACTTAACTTAGAGCATCCAAAGCACGCATACTGGACTCCGTCTATGGCATAGCAATGATTCGGATTTTTCTGGTGGGTGCATGAAGTTCAGGACACAGTCCCTGCTCAAGAGTTTACAGTTAGGCTGCAGAGAGATGAAAAGCAAACACATAAAAGGCAAGTAGTTCAAGAGTTATTTTACACACAAAAATAAAAACAAAGTTTACTGCAAGGTCATGTTGATGACTTGTTAGGTTGCGGTAGAAAAAAAATTCTGTAGTTTTGTTTGTTTGGCTTGGTTTGGTTTTTGGTTTTTCAAGACTGGGTCTCTCTGTGTATGTAGCCCTGGCTGTCCTGAAACTCACTCAGTAGACCAGGCTGTCCAGGAACTCAGAGATCCACCTGCCTCTGCCTCCCAAGTGCTGGGATTAAAGGTGTGCGCCACCACCTCCCAGCAATTCTGAAGTATTTTAAAGTGTGAAATGAGCCAAGGAGAAGGCTCAGAGGGCAAAGGGGTCTGCTGCCAAAAGGACTGAATCTGAGTTCATCTCTGGCTCCCACTTATATGCTTTGGATATCATGTAGTTCCTTAGTCACCTACTTGGTTATTTTGGTTTGGTTTGGTTTAAGATAGGGTCTCTCATTGGCCTAGAGATCATTAAGTAAATTAAGTTGAGTAACCAGTGATCCTCAAAAATCCTCTTGCCTCTACTTTCTCAACAATAAGGTTATAAGCATCTATAATCATACATGGCTTTTTTTTTGCAATTAGTATTTGTTGTAGAATATTGTTTTAAGGTATGTTACTTTAGTTTATGTTGCATTTCTTTTACGCTGTGAAGCTGTGTTACTTTGCCTGTGTAAAACACATGATGGTCTAATAAAGAGCTGAACAGCCAATAGTGAGGCAGAAGAGAGAAATAGGTGGGGCTGGCAGGTAGAGAGGATAAATGGAGAAAGAAGTAGCCAGAGAAGAGGGAGGACTTCAGGGGCCAGCCACCCAGCCATCCAGCCAGACATGGAGTAAGAAGGAAAGAAAAGATATACAGAAATAGAGAAAGGTAAAAGCCCCAGAGCAAAAGATAGACAGGATAATTTAAACTTAAGGAAGTTAGCTAGAAACAAGCCAAGCTAAGGCTGAGCATTTATAATTAAGAATAAGCTTCCATGTGTGATTTACTTGGGAGATGGGTGGAGGGTGAAGAGTAAAGAGTAAAAAACAAACAACAAGCACTAGGGTTCAAATTTGTGTCATCAAATTTTAATAATTAAGATATCTCCCCAGCCTGTTTTTTTCCTTTAAAAAAATTTTAATTATTTAATTAATTTATAGACAGTACCCTGAACTGTCCTCAAACTTGAGATCTGCCTGCCTGTACCTTTCAAGTATTGAGGTTATGTGTGTAAACCACTACACTCAATCTCAGATTGCATTTCTTGGGGTGGAGGTGAGCTGTTTTTATAGAAAAACAAAGAACTTTAAATCTACAGCACATGCAACAAACGCTGTGCTGTCTAGTTTTATGTCAACTTGACACAGAGTGGAGTCATCCGAGAAAGAGGGAGCCTCAAATGAGAAAATGATTTCATAAAATCTGGCTGTAGGTAAACCTGTAGGGCATTGTCTTAGGGTTTTTATTGCTGTGAAGAGACACCATGACCACGGCAACTCTTGTAAAGGAGAAACAGTTAATGAGGTGGCTTTCGGTGGTTCAGTCCACTATCATCACGGAAGGACATGGCAGCAAGCAGGCAGACTTGGTACTGAAGAAAGAGCTGAGAGTGGGGAAGGAACTACATCTTGATCCCATAAACAACAAGAAGTAGTTTGAAGCACTGGGCGTGGCTTGAGCATATATGAAGCCTCAAAGCCCACCCCCACAATGAAACTCTTCCTCTAACAAGGCCACACCCACTCCAACAAAGCCATATCTCCCAGTAGTGGCATTCCCTATGAGCTTATTGGGGTAATTACATTAAAACTACCACAGACATTTTCTTGATTGGTGATTGATGCAGCAGAGCCCAGCCCAATGTGGGTGGCCCTATCCCTGAGCTGGTGGTCCTGGGTTCTATAAGAAAGCAAGCTGAGCAAGCCCTGAGGAAGAAGCCAGTAAATAGTCCTCATCCATGGCCTTAGCAGCAGCTCCTGCCTCATCTGGTTTGAATTCCTGCCTTGGCTTCCCTCAGTGGACTATGATACTCTTGGTCATGTTGTTTGTTACAGCAATAGTAGCTCTAACTAAGACAACCTCCCACACCTAGATACATGGATTATGTTGCTCATAAATGCCTTGTACAAGAATCAAGATGCTAATTCAGAATTTCCTGAAAAGAGCTTCTCATGATCACTTCCTGTGGAACTAGTGACTGTGCAGAGACAATTTTGTCATCATTAGATTCAGAGACTTCAATACTTCGATGTAGGAGTTGAAAGAGGGAAAACCAACCAACCAACAAATAAAACAAAACAAAACAAAACTGTGAACTGGAATGAATCGGCCTCAAGGAAGAGACAATGTTGAGCCAAGCTTTGAGATCTTAGAAATCCCTTTACTAATGTTCAAGTTTGTTTTAGCCTAGGTGAAATTATTTGCTTCAGCAGTCTTTAATGTAGGCTGAGTTTTCTGTAGGAACCACCTGCCAGCTCTGTCCTGCCAGCTGGCTCCCAAATAACTATACAGAGACTTATTATTAATTATAAATGCTCAAGCGATAGCTTGGGCTTGTTTTTTAACTAGGCCCTATAATTTAAGTTAACCAATTTCCATCAATGCATTGCTGCCCCGAGGCTGGTTTACCCTATCCACATGCTTCCCATCCTACTTGCTCTGGGTCTCATAGCATCTCCTCCTGACTCTGCCCTTCTTCCCCTCAGCGTTCTCTCTATTCTGAAAGTCCTGCCTAGCTACTGGCCACTTAGCTTTTTTATTAAACTAATCACAGTGACATATATTCATACAGTGTAAAGAAATATTCCACACTTTAAGTTGGCTTTTTTTTTTTTTTTTTTGGTTTTTCGAGACAGGGTTTCTCTGTGTAGCTTTGCGCCTTTCCTGGAACTCACTTGGTAGCCCAGGCTGGCCTCGAACTCACAGAGATCCGCCGGCCTCTGCCTCCCGAGTGCTGAGATTAAAGGCGTGCGCCACCACTGCCCGGCCTTAAGTTGGCTTTTTAACCAGAGGAAAATAAAGGTGGAAAAGTAAAAATAGATGCACGACCAACTACAATTAGGGTAGGCAGAACCATGAGTTAGAGCTATTCATACATCACATTCTTGTGAGAAGCCCTGTAGGCATCACTAGCATTTGAGAACTGGAGGGATGGCACTAACATTTTCATCCCAAATTTCCTCCCCTTCCCTTCGAGACCGATCCATGACTATATGATGCAGTTGCCTGACTATTGTTACATATTCAAGAACAAATGTCTTCCAAGTTCCCACCAGCAATCTTCTCATTGTGTTCAGACTGTGGCCCAACTTGCCTCAGCTGCCATCAAGAGAAGTCAGTAAAAGAGCTAATGTAAACAGTAATGCTGTTTCTTGTGTTTCTCAGTGTGGGAGACCAGCTTCCACTTTTTTCCTTCCAGGGTACTCTTGAGGAGAGAGGAATAAAGGATTTAGACAGAAATATAGAGGGGAGAGAGAGACAGATAGAAAGAGAGAAACACAGGATAGCTTCAGGAGGACCTGGATCATTATCCACCGGCCCCTTCTTTCTCTTCTAAAGGGCTTTTTAAAGGAATGCCAAGGGGTGAAGCAAAAGACCTCCTCCTAGCATAGCCAAGTGTAGACCCTTCCAAACACCTGGTAACCAGGCACATGGTCAAGCAATCTTCTAATGCAGCTCTGCTGGGTAAAGCAAGCTCAGATCTCTCGAGGAACCTTTGTGGGCCTCCACACCTCAGAAGGCAAACGCTTGTGCTTCCTACCTGCCAGATACCTGAACAGTCAATGACCTAAAGTCTGTCATTTGCATTAAGTAAGAAGATGTCCCTCTCCCTACTATGTGAAAATAATTACTATTTACAAATTAGTTCATCGTTCTTGCTCTCTTTTGTTCTCATGGAACAAATGGTTTGTGGGCTCCTTAGAATGTTGGGTGAGACTGTGTCAGCTCTGTGGACTTTCTCTGCCCAATGTGTCTACTTTTCACAGATGTCACTCTCGGTAAACTGAGTCTGCTCCCAGCTCTGTCTTCATGCTGCTTCCCCCAGAACACCACCGATACGTCTGTATTCAGTACAGATGCCAACACAAAGCTCTTCAACTCACTCTCTTTGTGAATGAGTTTGTCTACATTAACATATCATATACCCACCTAGATTCTCCAAACATGTCCAGGCCTTTCCAGTCCCACTTTAGGCCCAAGTTGAAACTTTTCTCAATAAAAATTCATAGCATAGCTCTGGGTACTGAAAGAATGACTGGTAGGATATAATCCATTCATGAAACACTCATTTAAGAGCACAGATTCGGTGCTGGAGATGTGGCTCAGCCATTATGAGCACTTGATATTCCTGCAGAGGACCCTGGTTAAAAGCCCAGCACTCACATACCAGCTTACAACTGTCTATAACTTTGATTCCAGAAGATCCAGAACCCTCTTCCAGCCTCCAGAGATGCCAGTCATGCAAGAGGTACACATACACTTACCCAAACAAAACACTCATACACACACCAAAGAAGTCTTCTAAAAAAGAATAGAGGTTATCATGCACAATACATTTATACAATGGTGGAAAAATACTCTTTTTTAAACAAATGCAATTTTTTTAATACAGGGGTGGGGCATGCCATGATGTTTGTATAGAAGTCAGAGAACAATTTTCTCCTTCACCATGGGTTACAGAGATCAAACTCAAGAACTCAAAAATCAAGTGCAAATTCAATGATCACATTCAAAAGTCATCAGGCTTTCAAGGCAAGAGCTTTTAACCACTGAGCCATCTCCTTGGCTGGAAAACTATTTCAAACTCACATATATCTTGTCAATTAATATATAGCTAAGATGCTACTCACTACAAACATGTTGGGGTTTTATTATTGTTGGCTTGCTTGCTTGTTTGTATGTATGTATGATTGTTTGAAACAGTGTCTCATGTAGCCCAGGCTAACCTTGAATTCAATACATAGTTAAGGAT